TGTAGCCTCTCCCGAGAGGGAACACCTATTAAACGTGTGTGAGAGCATGCATGAGCACATTTCTCCTCATGCACGCTCTGTTTGAAAGTTGCTGTTTGCATCACTCATACAAGCTTACTTTCCAAAAGAAGATTTGTAATTTTTCCACTGTCAGACTCGCCACCGGTAAGTGAAAATGGGGACCAGCACATACGACGGCCTTACATAAACATATCACGAGAATGATTGACAATTAGGTGGACCACTTATTTTTATGATCCACCCGGAAAAAGAACATCCTCTACTATACCTTTAATGTCCAAAATATTTATACCATGGCCAAATTATTTTCCAGGTGAGTCTCATTTATCCTGTCCATTGTCTGAAATGCATCATTAAAATTTGTATTCAAATGGACTTCATTGAATCTCCGAGCAGCTGAGGAAACAAGATACTAAACATAATGCTGAGCAAACATTCCTTAACTTCCAAAATAGTATGTGACAACCATATCTACAAAAAGTGGGAAAAGTGGGACTGAGAGCAGGTCTGTGCTGCCTTGGCAACTTATCACTGTCATCACACAAAACTGCAGCAGATAAATCACCTTGATTTACCAGGAACCATCTGGGGAGCAATGCCCATGAAGAAATATGGGATGAGGGAAAAGATAGAAGAATATAAAGCTTTGACAGCAGGGAGATTTGCCAGGAGGGGAAAACGCATGCTGGGAAAGGACCCAAACCGTTAGATAAATCATAAAAGAATGGTACAGAATTTTATGCGTGACAGCTGCTTGCTTTTATATGATGCTATCAGAGAAGCTTGGACTGTCTGACCTTGGAGAACCTGAACTGAACCTCCTGAATCAATGATGATATCATCCACCTTGGTTTGTTTTTTTTTAGTTTGTAAACACAAAGCTAACTCAGTACAGGGAGACGCATGAACCGACAAACCTTTTTGTAATTCCACAGAGCATCTGGCAGTCAAAAAGTCTTTGAAGACCTCATGATTCTGGTTTCTCTTGTTTTTATTTCATAACAGTCATCACACATACTAAAACTTTGAAATGATTGATGCAGTTGATCTTGATTCTGTTTGGTTTTCCTATAGAGCCAGTCAGATGTGGAGTTTGTGTAAAGAATGAAGGAATGTAGTGTGTTGTGTGACTTTTTTACTTTTCCATAAAAGATCTCCTTGTCAAACTCCTCATAAAGTCTGCAACGAAGTATGCCAACCTGTAGATTCCAGGATTTGATCATTCTTCTGATAAAACACAGTTTGGCCCTGCAAAATAATGACAACATATGTCAAAAGATAAAAGCCAAAAAAAAGTAACACAGAAGAAATAAAAGGAAAAAAAACAGAAACAGCATCCAAGGGCTACATTTTGGAACCCAGGGTCATCTTGTCGAATTTGAAAACATTTTATTCTTGAAAAACTTTTCATACCCTTTGTTCTATGTTCCAATTCTTCATGCCAAGACAAAGGCTTCAATCGGAGAATGTAAAAAATATGCACAGATTCAGATTTTTGAAAGTGATCAAGAACCATGTTTATCTGCCATTTTTGTTAGTTTATCGAATTAAAAGCCAATAAAATAAACTTACTAGATGTAGCAAGAGCTAATATGGAAAAGTGAAGCAATGTATTACATCAATATCAGGTGAGCAGGAGCTTCTTCCTCTTAAACTTACAAGATCTGCAGTTTTTAAAGCATAGTTTCTTTCCCCAGGCTGTCTCTCTTATGAACAATGAACGCCTCATAGCCTAGAGTCAGATACTCGAACACTAAATAAATAAGTATACTGCACCTTCCTCTTTCTAAAGAAACAAAAAAAAAAATATGGGGACTGCACACACACACACCCACACACACCTACACACAAACTTAGACAAATTCAGAATAAGCAGCAATATATATATATATTGCTGCTTATTCTGAATTTGTCTAAGTATGTATATATTAGAGTTGTCAAAGGTTCTCACATTTTATAATTATTGAAAAGTAGATAACTGTGTTGAAAACCCTTTTGAGAAAGTAAAAGTACTGACTAACCTCTTATTTAAGAAAAAGTAAAAAAGTACAGGCAGTACATTTTTAAAGATATAAGTTAACCTAACTATAAACTTCATTCTTTCACTCACTTTGTTGGTGGAGAGATCATGAAAAATAATGAAAGTTTAGTTTTACCCTGAATCAACATTTCAGACAGGACATTATAGAATGAACTAAACAGAAATCCTGCATAAGCATGCTTTATGGTTGTTTTTAGCAATCTGGTATTTACAACATTACAGCTGCAAAAAGCTGTAAACAATATCATGTAAATATAGTCTTATAAATTGGGAATGGATGGGGGATGTTTCAGTTCTCAGAATCGGATTAATCAGGTGCCATAATTCCCAGCCCCTCATCTTAATCCATGTCACAGATTATCTTTACGCTCTAGATTTTCTTCCCACTTTGTTGAACTTGCTACATCATGTCATTATCAATACATATAGAAGTAATGAGGCAGTTTGGAGAAAGTAGGAAGTAAAAAGTCCTTAGAAAAATTAATACTTAAAGGTATAGTGGAGGATGTTCTTTGTGGATCATCAAAATAATTGGTCCTTCAAATTATCAATCATTCTGGTGATATGTTAGCGTAAGGCCATCCTACGTGCAAGTCCCCGTTATTACTTACCGCAAGTGAGTCTGACAAAGTGGAAAAATTGCAAATCTTCTTTTGGAATTAAGCTAGTATCAGCGATGTAAACAGTAACTTCTAAACAGAGCGTTTACGAGGAGAAATGGGATATCCTTCCATAAAAATTCAAAAAATATCCACTGGACTTGGTTTTCAAGATTTGAAGACATTTCGCCACCTCTCCAGGAAGCTTTCTCAAGAGGTGGCGAAACGTCTTCAAATCTTGAAAACCAAGTCCAGTGGATATTTTTTGAATTTTTATGGAATGACTATGACCTGGATGACTGAGAACCTTCATCAGCAGAAATGGGATAGTTCACACTCTCACAAACATTTAATAGGCGTTCCCTCTCAGGTGCGAGTACAGGGTTGTGTATTTTTTATTTATATATTTTTTTAAGTGGAGAGGGCAGATCTTATTTAAAAGTTCGCGGAAATCCTCCACTGTAACTTTAAGAAAACGTTCCAAAAAAATGTTTGCTCACCAAACTTACCTGAAGATGTTGCAGTTTTCTAACTATTCTTAATATATGTACCCAAATTTATCTTTTTTCTTATAAGTTAGTTACCAAAGCACCAAATATTATCAACTTAAGCCAATCCCACTGCTGTATCTTTGCTTTATTAATAAAGACTTAACATGACAGAAATAACATTAAATGCATCTTTAATGTGTTTGGTTTGTATTTGTAGTATTCTTACATGCAATCATCGACAAAAAAAAAAAAAACTGTACATGTTTCAGAATTAAGGTAGACATGAACTGAAACTAAATCAATAAAGAGTAGTTCAACTTGATCAGTGAAATCAATCTGATAGATTGAACCTTACATATGCTTGGTTTACTACATTATAGGGGTGCAAAGCCTGTGTGCAAAACAAGGGCATGATGTCATTGACTAAAGTGCAATTCTGTGTCAAATCCATTTGTGATTTCTCCAAAACAGGAATGTTAACATCAGAAAAAAATATTCTCACTTGTAAGCAAGTCTCCCTCTTGTGGAAGAAACAGAGAAAAGCACATTTTTCATGAAGTGTAGATGATACAAGTTTCATTCAGAAATTTGATCAAATGAACATTTTCAGATAAAGCTTTAAATTAGTGCCTCAACTTTAAAAAGTTATTTTTCCCCCAAAGACACAAGTAGGCAGTCGTGAAGAGACCCTTAAATGAATGGAAGGACTGCATTTGGATGCTCTAAAGAAGAACAGCCATGAAAATCAAAGCATTGCAGTACTGTTGGTTAAGAAAACATGGAGTGGATTCAGCATCTGCCTAGAGTTCTACCAAATAAAACAAAAAAAATCATTTGTGGACATTTTGTCAGGGAAAATTTGCACAACCTCTGAGATGAAAACATAAATATAACATACAGGAAATTACACAAACTCATTTAAGGAATCAGACGACAGACAAATGAAAGCAAGGAAATATCCTGCAGAAATGCCCCTCCCCTACATCCTGCATGCAAGTTGTTTTGTTTTGTTATTTAATGCATCAGTGGAGTGATCGCACAAACAATTCATCTGGTGGGGGGTTTTTATACGATAGTTCCTACCTATGCTTTTAATGCATCAGTAACCTTCAACCAGAATACAACAACAGTTTAACATACATCAGGGAAAATAGGCATTAAAAATGTCAATGTATTCTCAGCAAATAGATTTCTATTGACCAACAGATGGGAAATTCACATTAAGAGGAATGGCAGCACTGGAAATTTTAATAAAGGGAGTAACATGTAGTACAGAACTGCTAAAAAAGTTACTGACTGCAGCATTAAATCCTACTCTGAATCATTAAAGCAGCTTTTATTTCTCATGTCTTGAAATGAAAAGAAGCAGGAAGTGCCTCCAGAAACATTCCCGACAACCCTGTCAGTTTTTATGGGCTAGTCGTCAATTAGAGTTTATNGAGGATTTTTAAGAAAGAATAGGGTCTAAAACAGTTGAGAACAGAAAAAAAACAGGCTAAAATAGCTCATCAAGAGCTGGAGCAAAAAATTAAATTTAAAAAGATATCACACCTGAGCAATGAACTAGCTTCTTTCTTTCTAGGCTGAAATTACTAAAAGAACAGGCTTTTCTAACGAGAAGCACCTTTACCACCCATTTAATCTAAACAAGGTTTTTTAAATGAAGTATTGTATGTTTTTAATTACCTTGTTATCAGCAGCTGGTTTTAGTTTAATACCAACGCTGTGATTAGAAAAGTATTTAAGGAGAAAAAACATTGATCTATTTAACACTTATTTTCCCTGCTGTGAAATATTCAAAGAAAAGAGAATCAGGACCATCAACATTATGTTTTCGTTGTTTTTTTGGGGGGGTTATGAAAATTACTTCAATTTCAGCACCACTGACATCTAAACATCTACTTTCCAGATATCCATGGAAGATGATGAATTATTATGTTATTTTCTTAGATGATCCTACAGAAAAAATAAAAAGGAATCAACCAACCAGATGTGCACTTCCATGTTCAGCATGTTGTTTTGGTTTGTGGTCAAATCTGAATTATGACGCCATAATGGTGGTGATTTTCTTACACTCTAATTGTTTTGTCATAAAACAATCCGGAGATGCAATCTGCTCTGAAAAATTCCCTTCATTCCCAGCAGAGCCCGGATCCAGTCTGTACAAGCATGGACTTTCAGCTGTAACTCGTGGTTAGGTAGGAGAACAGGTTACAAGACGAAGATAAAAGCTCGTTAAGCTAGTGTAACAGGTGCATCTCCTTGCTGTAAAAGCCACCTGACTTCCAAAACAACCATGTCTGCTTTTCCTCCTCGTTGTTACAAAGCTCAGAGTCCAGCTCCTGCTGGCATTCGTAAATCCTTCAACCTTCACTGAAGTCTATAAAAATCCTTCTGGCTAAAAATCGCTGAGGATGCTGATGTCAGCAAACTCCTGGCGGTATCTGTAAGAGTACAAGGCCAAGAGAAAGGACCATTTGAGGGTCAGGAAGCTCCAAACGCAGGACAGGTAAAGGCTCCGCGGGTTGGTCAGTGCTGTGGGGCGGAAATGACAAACAGTTAAGGGTTTAACTTAAGAAATGAACAGTTACGATACATTTTCAAATATGATTTGACACCAAGAGAGGCTTACAGTGTTTCTGCGTGATGGCCAGGCTTAGAAAGGTAAAGAAAGCAGCTACCGCCAGCACTGAGAAGAGCACTCCGACAACAATGAAAAACCTGAGGCCTTTGAGCCAGGTGCGCCAGTAGTCCTGCATGTACATGATGTGTGTGACAAGAACCCAGAACGCCAAGACTCCTGTCAGATGAAGAAAACACAACGATTAGTTTTCTGCTTGATTAAATAAATACTAGCATCATTATAGAAAGCTCTGACAGGACGCTCTATCATTCTATTCTTCAGCACATAGATCAGTTACCTGTAGGATAAGGATAAGTTTTAATATAACTAAAAAGTTCCCTCATATAAAAGTCCCTAAATGACCAGTTTTCTGCTCACTAAAAAAAGGCCATGAAATTTTGTCTTGAAAGAAAAACTGGGTCATTTTCTAATATTTTAGTTGGCAAACAAACTGAATGAATTCCAACATCCCTGATATAATTCAGCTTTAAACCTACAGCTCAGAAGCTAGAAATAGATGTTTCTTAAGCAGGTGACTAAAAGCTTCAACTAATCAGAAATCCACTTCTTACCTGAATGGAAATTAAAGGATAATATTTTGCACGATAGAGACAAGAAACCTGCTTTGGTATTGTCTTTTTTTAATTTTTTTTTTTACAATCATGTTTATTCAAACAGCTTTTCAGCAAAGCTTCCGTTTATTTTATTTTTTTCAATTCAGTCTTAAATGCTTGTTTTCTATTTTAAATACAATCAAGCATATCATTCTTTTTTTTTTTTTTTTAAATACACAAACTTTTGTAAATAAATACTGACAGCACAATCTGTTGCTGCTTTGTTTAAAGCTGAGGAATGTTACCTGATGTGCATTTAAGATAGCGAATTAAGGGTTTTTAATAGAAGAGCTCATTTCAAAATGTGCCATAGAATCAAACATGGGTATCCTAAGAGCTTAAGGCACAAACAGCTGCTTTAAGGCCCGGGGCGAGCAGCCCCCATCAGAGAACACAAACACAGCAACAAACAGGGGAGAAAAAAGGTATAAACAACAGTTTAAAGGATAAAAAACTAATCTCAAATAACCGACACACTCATTTGCAGAGCTTAGGATTCAATTTAGGTAAATTTGACATTTCACGATTAATCCGCTTAATTGTTTCAGCCCTAATATAGTTCATATGTTAGCTAGAATAGCATGTTTTCTTTGTAAAATATATATAAAAAAATACACTTGGAAAACAAAAAGTGTTTTATTCATACATGTTATATTTTTAGATTTCTTGCATATTTTAAAAGAATTAGGATCAAATGACCAAAACCAATTGTCACTGATTTGTCTTGATTCTAATTGACTTTTTGTGTTTGTTCTGATAAGACAAGAGAAAAAAATTCCTCTATAGCCATTTTTAACCTTTAAAGTTCTGTTTCAATTTCCTCAACAAATAATATTAAGTTATTTTTCACGATGAGCTCATAGTTTACAGTAAAGAAAGAAAAATGTTATGTGACTCAAATATAAAAACATTAACATGCAGGAGATGGCCAAGAGCAACTTTGGTTTAAGTCTCCTAAGTCAGAATCTGAACAAACAGCTGAAATGTTCCATACAAAATAAGATGATAATGGACACCAAGTATAAAGTGCATAAGAAATTTATAAATGAATAACAGAATATAAAACTATAATATCAGGGTCGCATAAATGTTGCTTGTAGAACATTTTTAACTTGGTCTAAACTATAAGCATGGGATCCCACAAATAAAAGTCCAATCTGGCCCCATAGCACCGGGGGCCATCTTTGAATATGATCCTATTGACGAATGTTATCCTCAAGCGATTTAAACAGACCTTAGTCGATATTTAAGGAGTGATTAGTGGCGCCTGTTACAGCATTTTAGCCCCAGAAGGCCGCAGTCTGGGCCATACATCTAGGATTGATTGAAGGGCGATCCATAATAACAAATACTGGAACATTTATTGCCATTAATAGCAGTTATGTTTCATAAACATACCCGACAGGCCTCCCATAGCCGCTGTCCATGGCTGTTTATAGGCGATATTCCAAACCAAGAAGGCAGAGAATCCAAACAGAGTCCCGCAGCTAGCATAGCCTATGCTAATGTGTATCCTGCTGATTCCCATTGTAAAAGAATGTTAGCGACAGATCTGTACGGCCAAGCAAGATGAAAAAATTTTACAATTTTAGTATTTAAAAAAAGGACAGATCCGATGTTTTGGCTCTGACCTACATCAACAGCTTACAGCCGCCATATTATGTAATATCCTCAGCAACAGGAAAACGACAAGATAGAAATCCCCCTAGGCTCACAGCCAGTAGAAACACGACGCCTGACAGCGTGGATTATTTTAAAACAGACCCGCGAAAACATTCTACACAACTTTAATATTTGAGTCAACCAAACACTAAAAATGTGCTTTATGAAATCAGCTACAGAGAGCAACAACACAGACTAAATTAGTCTCTTAAAGTTTAATAAGGAGAGTCAAGCCTAACAGCGAGAGCCACCAGAATATTGGTGCAAGTCACCCATCCTCTTTGTTATTTACCTATCTTTGTTCAGAGGAGCTCCCCATCGCCAGCTCAGCTCAGATACTGCCCCTAGTGGAGAAAAGTAAAGGAGCATTTTGATTTTGGTGGCACAGGTGAATTTTAATAAAATTACCAAATCACGTTCAAGCTTTTCTAGAATAATAGTGTGATCAACTGTACAAATGTAGCGTCAGATCTAATATCGCAAGAACAGACCCAAATCCTTGATTTTAGGCCATAAAAATATCAATAGTAATTATCAAAGTTTCAGTGCTTTTATTAGTCCTTTGGCAAGGCAAGGCAAATTTATTTGTATAGCACAATTCAGTACAAAGACAATGCAAAGTGCTTTACATGATTAAAATACAGGAAAATAAAGCAGAATCAAAGCAAGTAGGAAAAAATAAATAAAGAAAATAAAGTAAAAAATGCAGAAACAAAAAAAGAACATTAAAAACAGTGGGCTATGGGCTTTTATTAGCCCTATGGACTAATAAACCTGGCTAAAACTCAGTAATGATTCAGACATAGTTCAAATTCCTCAAGGAGTTCACGTCAATTTCAACATGAAATGTTAAGATTTGTTAATTATTTGTGCAAATATTAAACACTCAGAAAAACACAATAGCCCAACATTTTAACCCACCTGTTGCTCACAGTAAAGAGTATCAATGCACTTCCGTTTTGTCTGTCTGGAAGTTATGCAGACTGTGGTTGTCAAGCACTGCATTTGACTGAGATGGCATGTGAAACACTTTGGTTTCATAGCAATATAATAGAACATTTTATTCACAATGCACATGATTTTGTTTATGTATATACACATAAAAGCCTTTGATATCTTTAAAGCTTGATGATGCCATAGGGATAATTTTAACTTGTTTTGTAACCACAGATTGGGAGGCAGTTATAAACTCTTTGTACATTTTTGTAAATTCATACTTGATTTTCTTTTTCCAGCCTTTCCAATGTGTCTTTATATTTATTTATTGAATAATAATAATAATAATAATAATAATAATAATAATAATAATAATAATAATAATAACAGTACAGTAGAATCTGTGTGTTTGATGTTAGAGTTGACAAAGTCTTTAAGGTCAAGGTAACTCTTTTCATGCGCTGATATGTAAAACCTTATTTCAAAGAGGATGTGTTTTATTTTTCTCAAAACAGGGCTTAAACAGGTGCATTGAATGCTGATCAGTATAGATTGCACATTACTACACATTTTCACCATAAAAGAATAAAATTGGCTACATTAATCGATTTTTAAAGCCAGAATTAAGATTAAAACATAGCTTTAACTCTATGCAAAGTATTATAACCAATGTTTTTCTTTGTCTGAGATGTTTAGCAGCAATAGACCGAAAATGTATGTTACTGAGTAAAAGTTGAAAGCCTTCCTGTGGTTGATTGCAGCTCCTTTGCATGTCTGCATGATGGCAAGTCGAAAGCAAAACTGAAGGAAACCACAATACTCAACTGTGTGTCTGAAAGTTATATATTGTAAGTAAAAAAAAAAAAAACTGCAAATTTTCAAAAACTATGCTGTTCACACGCCTGCTGCTGTGGGTCTGTGCTGAATTCAGCTCATGCCCTTAGGCGCTCACTTCATGACCAATCAGAAAGATACAGGAAACGGTGTCCACTAACCCTCCCCACGACTCATACGGGCGACCCAGACTGGCAGATCAACCCCAGACATATGAAAGAAAATACGACTGGAAACAGGAAAGCAGAGAACAAGTGTGCCGACAAGCCTTACAAGTGGATAAATGTGGTAAGTCTCTGAACATGGATGGCAGTAATGTAAATGACAGATCAGCGCTTTATTTTCACATTTTAGAAATAAATCTTTTTTTTTTAGAAAATGTGTTTTATTCATAATTTGGTAAATCATGTAGGCTTTATTATGTGTATATTTATAGATTTTGGAGCAGTATTTACCAGGTGCATGAAAGTTTATTTTATTGTTGCTCCAAAATTGAAATGAAACTAACCATGCCTTAATTATGAAATAAAAAAGTGTTTGCTTCTACTTTTTAATCATAATTAATTTGTTTGCACGTCATCATCTAGACACTTTTAAAAGGTAGTCAATTATGAGAGCGCGTAAGATTAGCAACTGTTGCGGCATGTTGAATTACTCCTGCATTAGATTTTATTCCTGGCTTCATATTGGCTTCACATTTTGCATCAATCCTCCTCTGACCACGAGGTCAAACAGATCAAATATGTATTTCCCTGTGGCTGCTAAGTGGCAGGAGAAAGGAAGGAAAAGGTGGACGTGTGTCACTGCATGTATGTGTGTATGTGTGCACATGTGTATGTGTGTGTGCTCAACAAAGACAGTTGACAAAGTACATTCCATGGGCGTTGATGTGTTGCAGGAAATCCCACTCCCATTCCCGAAGGATCTAAATAGAAACACACAAAATAAATAGAAAGAGAGAAATAGACACTGACTCAGATAACAGAACAATTTGCTGGATTAAACAATACAACTATAAATATCTGACATCAAAACCTGAAATTTCATCCTTTACTTTTTTCACATAAAGGGCTGTGAAAAGACATTCTATTTTTGATTGTTTTTGGTCACAACTTCAGTAAATTTTTAAGATCGTCAAATAAATATTTCAATACTGGACAAAGATTATCTGAGTAAATAGAAAAAAAAAACAGTTTTCAAGATGATTTTATTTACTGAACAAAGAAAGCTACCCATGCCAACCAAGGTTATGTGTATTATACAGCCTTGGGTATATACTATATATACTATAACAAAATAAATAAATAAATAAATAACTATTAAAAAAAACAGGCCCAATTTTTTATTTTAGCGTACCTGTTGCCTACATTATACAAGACTTATGGAATTAATGAATCACTCAGCCTATTTGACAACAGGAAGTAGATAGAAATCGAGTCTATACCCCAGTTTAACAAAAAAACAAAAAACATGAAATGATTGGAAACAATGTAACTGAGATCTATCAGTCTAGAAATATGGCTACAAAGACATTTCTAAGGCTTTGGGACTCCATTGAACTACAGTGAAGGCTGTTATCAACAAATAGTAAAAGCATAAAACAGTAAACTTTCCCAAGAAGCGGCCAGCTATAATTTAAGCTATCATTTCATCCAGGATCTCAGAGAATAACCCAGAGCTGTGCAGACTGAGTTCAGATCAGTGGTAAGGATTCTGCAAAAAACAAAAAGAGAGACACAACAAAAATGGCATCCATGGGAGAGTTCCATGGCAAAAAGATATGTTTCTGTCTTACATTTCCTAAACAAGATCTCCATTATCCCCAAGACTGTTGGATTAAAATTTCCTCTAGACAGAAAAGACTGACTGATTTTAAGACATCGTTTTTCTCATTATATCTGTTATTAAACCCCCCCTCAAACTGACAAACGTGGGGGCAGTAATTTGATGGTCTGAGGCCGCCCTGCTGCCACAGAGCCTTTATGATTGCAACAACTGATTAACCACAAATTCTGTTTTCTACCATAAAACAGTGAAGGAAGGTGTCTCACCAGCTTAAGCTAAAGTTCTCTAAGTTCATTCGGCACCACAGTTTTCCTGGGAGCTTAAGGTGATTCTTGGTTTTGGTCTGTAGGGCTGAGCCGCCAGGAGTGAGATGTTAAGATAATAACTTAACATAATGTAGGTAGGATAATAACTTGAACTAGAAAATTCCCAAAGGTCATTTTGGAGGTGCCTGCCACTTGATGCATAGTTGTTTTTGTACAGCTTTAGGTTCTGTGGCAAAGCCAGGGTGGCACCAAAGGCTTCATAGGGTTATTTGGGTTCACCTGACATCGGGTAAGAGCGTGAAACTCAATGGAGAAATATGTCACCATGCCAGGTGGCAGCTTGCTTCTTGCTTGATGGTGACTGGCGTCGCCATACTTAGTGGCGACTGGGGTCATGATAAAGATCCCTATAATGCAATAAAATGCTGAGTATATTATTAAGGCTTTTATTTTGTAGAGTACCTGGTGTCTTACTTTGAAGGTCCTGCAGGGCTGCATAAAGTCAGCCTCTGGAGTGATATGACATCAATTTGCAAATGGTTAATCTATCTTGTTCTTCTTATTATGTTAATAGATGCTTTATTACAGTGGAAATGGGAGACTTTTAATATGAAATGTACACTAAGGTGAAAATCATCAAATATTGGTAACAAAACACAAATAATTTAAACTGAACAAGTTCAGTCAAGTTCTTTACAGGCTTCTGTTTCCTTGTAGTTCCTCCAGTTGGAGCAGTTTATGTTAGTTAGTGACCGTAAATAAGATCATAGAAAGTGTTGTTAAGTCATTTCTTTCAATTAGACATCCATGTAGAAAGCATATCAGTGTTTTATGTAAACTGAGGGAATAAAATAGTTTAAAGTAGAGCCAAATTGATACATTGGCAGGGTGATATTTTTGGTATATATTTGTGGGGATTTTTATATCATAGGCTAATAGGTGCAGTTTTTACTGGTTATTTAATTCTGCTAATCAGTTAGCAGAACCTCAATCTGCGATACCAGTAAGGTTTTCCCTCTTCATCTTCAATGCCAATTTTGTGAATGAACACCAACTGACAAGAATCGAAGTCATAGCCTTATATGAAATTATCAGGGTGGTAATTATCCAGATTTGCAGTTCATGAACACGCGCTCACTTACGCACAGGTGGACTGCATCAAGTTTACAAAGATCATTGATGATCATTTACTGAAGT